TGAAGAACTACAACCCACATTCTTTAAGAATCTAATATGGAAATGCATCATACTTTATCACTGTCATCAGGTGGGGACCATGCAAAGCAAACTTAGCCTATGTTTTACCTGATGGGTACAATGTTACTGTTGAGGTGTTGCTGCTGCTCCTGCTGCTGACAGTGCTAAAAGGCAGGGCTGTGTTGATCTGAGACTGTAGACTGTAAGAAGTCCATAGCAGAGATGGGAGCTGATTAAACAGGTGTTATGAGATAATAATAAAATGCAAAGATGAAAAGGTGACAACACTTGGAACCATAAGGCAACAAAACTGTGAGAAATAAACTAGGCTGTGAATATGAATCACTCTTTGCCTCTCTCCCTCCTTCCATCTCCTCATCTCATTTATCACTCTCCACTTGCTGTCCATCTGAGAACAAGGCACAATTTACTATTGCGTTGATCTATTATTTCATTATCCACTCTTAAAAACTCTTACACCCAATCCATAATAAAGTAATAATAGAAAAATGTTATAGAACCAAAACATTGCAGGTGTGTTTATTATTGTTTTTATACTTGAATGCCTCGGCAATGCAACAACTGGTACATGTGTTATTGTTACCTGTGCTCTTTTTAATTCAGCTGGTGAGGGATCCACTGCCTTTAGCAGCTCCTTTTGTCACCATTTCCTCCTTATGTCCTTACAGGGCATGTCTGGACAATGTTATATCATGAGTAATGATTTAAAAAAATATCAATATACATAAAACACACACACACACACACACGCACATACAGACATTTTATATCTTCTCCAGAATACTGTATGCATTATGGCTACAAGTTTGCATCATGGTGCTGATCTGGAATCCTTCCCTTATTGTTTGTTCCTTGTGTTATAATAATAAAATAATTAAAATGAAAAAAATATTAAGTAATAAATATAAAAAAATGTATTATAATAATGTATTTATGATGATTCAATTTGTTTGACTATCCACTCTGTGCAGGCAGAAAGCTTATTAAATGTTTAAACTGTAGAGATACAATAATGTTGCTGCTGTAAAATCTGCATTTTGTCCTATTTGAAATATAAATCTAATCTAATCTGTTTCTTAATGTATCGGCAGTATTGGTCCCGTATTTACTTGTTATTGGATGATACCAATGACTGCAGAAAACATTGGATGATACCAAAATTTGCAGTTTTGCGCAGGCGTAGCGCGGAGTGATACCTCTTATCTTCCAGCAGCTCCTCGACCCTCCTCTGCCTCTCATTGGTCCAGCTCCTGCCACTGCTTCTTCTCTGATTGGTCCGGTTGTGTAACGCCCTTAGCGGAAGTGATCGGTCGCAAGTGAAGCAGCAGGAGTGATGATACAGAGGAAGGCGTGAAAACAGGGGAAATAACGGTGCTTTGCGGAGTTGTTTGAAAGTCAAATTAGCTTTATGACAAGATAAAGACTCGGAGAGAGCAGACGGGATGATTTTAGTGGCATATTTGTCGTTTTTTCTCCTAATTTCCTCGGTCGGAGCAGCGAAGGATGGGGACGATGACTGGGTTCATCTGCCCAACAAATGTGAAGGTAAGGCGGCTTGTGGTGCTCAAAACGGGCTCCGAGGACCTCTAAGAGTCCTACAGCAAATAGAGAAGTCATACTGCAGTATTTGTGTATATAATACACGTAGTATATGTGCTAAGTATAATTTCCACTCTGTGTGGGTTCACACTGACAGCAGGCTGTTTGTGTTTGTGGAGGAAGTCGCACTGAAACAGGATTGTGTGAAACATTAAAACAGGAGTGCTGTTGGGCTTAGATAACATTTCACATTTGTAAGCTTTGCTTTTATGTTTTTGCTCTTGAAACTACCCCATTGGCCATTTCTTAGCATCAATACAAACATTACCCTGTAGCCTTGCTTTTAAATTAAAGGTGGTCATTGTAGGTATTTTATTTTGAAAATCCTGCTACTAACCCATCCCCTCTCATAGCTGCTGTACCACCTGTCCTCTGCCAGGTCTGCTTTGCCTCTTGTCCAAGGGGTGGACTCCCAACTCCACCATGCTGGACTGCAGGTGGAGGCGGTAGTCCCCCGTTTGCTGTGGAGCACAACTCCAACCAGAACCTACTCTGAAATGCAAAGCAAGGACTACCGCCTCCACCTGCAGTCTATGACAGTGCAGGTGGAGTCCATCTGTGGGGAAAAGCACACTTTAAATGAAATAGAGAATCTCGATGACATCAGTGACCTGATAGGACGAGTTTAACTGCTTTGTTGAGACATTGTTGAGGTTTAAAGGACTTCTTCTCATTGTCTCTGTTTCCCTTTCCAGTCTGTAAGTTTGTCAGCATCGAGATGAAGTCGGCGTTCGAAGAGACAGGGAAGACAAAAGAAGTCATCGATACCACATACTCCATAGACAGAAAGGGGGCGTCGCCGATCAAATATGTCAAGTCGTAAGTTTGAGTGTGTGCGCGCCTGGTACCGGGAAATGTTGAATGTTAAAAAAATAAGAGCCCGGTTTCAAAGTAGAAGTGAAAGCTGCTCTGTGTGGAGGGAGAAGTACGCCTGGCTGATTCTGGATCTTTCTCTCGCCCTCAGAGACAGACGGCAACAAGGGACAGGAACTTGGTCAGGTTCAGTTCCTGTGCAGAAACTTATTATAGAACAGGGAAGCTGCTGAAGTGCTCTGTGCGCGAGAGCAAAGCTCGATGGGAGTTTTAATCTGAAAGCATCACAGTTTTAGGACCTGCTTTAAAAAAAAAAAAGTGTTACAATATTTTAAATGTGGTCGTGAACATACATGTTTATGTTCAGTCTGCAGAGCGTGACATGCGTCAGACACACTTAACTCACAATGTTTCCCTTTTTGTTTTTTTGATTTAGGGTAAGTTGAAAGGCAGCATACGTCTCATGTCTGGACAAGAAATATAACGTTTCTGCTCAACCCCTCAGCTCAGACCCTGAGCTGAGGGGTTGCTATAAAGGCCACTTTACTGTGGATCATTTAGTTATCACCTCAGGATAAAACCATAGACCTCCTTTAAGTATAGGGGTACTTTCATAGCATCCAGGATACCAGCTGAGAAATGCCTTTAGTGTGGAGATGCGCTGACATGAAAACAAAGAGCATCGAGGAGCAGAAAACTTAAATGAAAAAGCTCTGTAATGTTACTTTGACACGGTCCATAAAATGAAGTCAGCTGTGACGTGTGATCAGGTTTTTGGTTCACAACAAAACACAAAAGGGCAAATCCAAACAGAAGGTACAGAGAGAAACTGAGAGAGAACTCTGTCGCCTGCTGGGATGTTTAATGTGTGCGTTTCTCCTCAGAGACCTGAGATTCATCGAGGTTGTAGAAAATGTGTGTCAAAGGCTGCTGGAGTACAATCTGCACAAAGAGAGAAGTGGCAGCAACCGTTTTGCCAAGGTCAGTGTGCGCGGTTCCTTTTCTGTCAGTTCAAATGTTTAACTGCAGTGTAACGGTTATTTTTAAACACCCTGGATGTGACACGTGACAGTTTCTGCAAGAATCAGTATTTGTAGGGTTTGGTTTTCAAGCATCTTGTTTTTCAGCTCATAGTTTACAACACGTGAAGCTGCGTGTTTGTTTCATAAAATGTTTTTTAGCTGAATGTAGTCATGCTGTCACCGTTGCTTCTTCACATGTAATGACTGCATATTGAGCTGTTCTCATTAAAACCCTGAAACTTTTTTGATCGGCTTTACTGTTTATGAAAACTGCTGAAAATAAAAGGAAATGTTCACAAAAACTGAATTCATTGGAAGTTGAACTCTGACCATAGACATCTTCATCTCGGTGTTTGAAAGTGTACGTGATGAGGCGGAGCTGACTGTGAAGCTTCACACTCTAGTTGTGATCACAGGCCGTTAGCCAATGAGCTTACCGCAGATTACCCTCTTTGCTGACACTTGGAGAACAATAAAATTATACAGTGATAAAACTGGATTAAAGTTTCATTCAGTAAGACCCCAAATAAGTGACTGAGTCCTTAAACTCACTGGGAAAATCTTTAGAGGTCCAATCAGATGGCTTTTTTCCTCATTTTTGGAGTAGCTGTGGCTCACGGGTAGAGCAGGTCATCTGCTGATCATCAGGTCGGTGGTTTGATTTTAATGCTCAGTCTGTTGCAGCAGCAACACAACGGCGCATATGGGATAGTATGACGATGATTGTTTAGTTTCTTTTTAATGTAGTTTGGTTTCTATGCAGTCGTCCATATTTGTAGTTTTAAATGTGTCATTGGGCATAGGGCATGTCGGAGACCTTCTCCACCCTGCATGGGTTGGTGAATAAAGGAGTGAACGTGGTGATGGACATTCCCTACGAGCTGTGGAACGAGACGTCAGCTGAAGTGGCCGACCTTAAAAAACAGGTGTGTTTATATATTTATTTAAACATTCCCAAAGGAACCAAATTAAACTCCAAACATGGTCAAATTTTCATCTTTTAAATGAAATTTGTGTGTGTGTGTGTGTGTGTGTGTGTGCGGTCAGTGTGATGTGATGATAGAGCAGTATGAGAACGTGATTGAGGACTGGTATAAAGGAAGCCAGGAGGAGGACCTGACCACGTATCTGTGCGAGAAACACGTGCTCAAAGGACAGGACAGAGGTAACGCTCGTACACACAACTCTGACGTTACATCCATGTTGTTGTTTTTTGTAATTCATGATTCCTGATTGTTTACATTTTGCACCCCTTTCTTTCCCTTCTCACATGTCCCTGTATTCACCTGAGATTTTGAGACCTTTACACCATCAGTTTAGTAGAGAGCTCAATAAAAACAATAGAATCCTCAATGACAAAACAAATATTGTAATTACAAAAATAATAATAATTTTGAAATCAAAATAAGTGCAATAAAATAATTGTCGGGACTTTCAGATTTGTATATTTCTCTTTGCCTTGCTTTCTGTTTTCCCGATCTTATTTTCCCGCCACGCCTCTCCTTCCATTTCTCTCTCCAGCCTGCCTGAACGAGAACTGGAAGAAGGGAGACCAGGCAGCGATTGCGGAGGACAAGAAGAAGAAGAAAAAGAAGAAGGGAGGGAAGAAGGGCAAGGGCAAAGGTGAGGAAGGAGGCGAGGGAGGAGGAGACGGCAGCTCGGAGGGAGAGAAGGCGAGCAAGAAGAAGAAGGAGAAGAAGGTGAAGAAGAAGAAAAAGAGCAAATCTCCGGTGGAGAAGACGGACGGAGGGGTGTCGTCCGACGAGGAGATCCAGCCGCAGGTGCCTCTGTCTGGGCAGAAGACGGAGCTGTGAGTCCTGGATGTGGATCAGTCCTCCAGAGTGAAACCTGCTGAGTCAAAGCAGCCTCTGGAAACATCTTCAAGTGTTAAAACTGAGGTTCAAGTCATTGAAATCCCGCGCTGTTACATGTTTTGAAGTCATTTTTCAGGTTTCATGAGGGAGAAATCAGATGTATAATCAGTTACGTACAACATTTCGCTCCTTTTTACCCCCACTTCAGTCATTTAACGGTTTTTAGTAGAGTCTCCATTGGAACTTAAAGGATTATGTGGTTATCATAGCTTGGGACCAGTTTTTCTATTGGTTTTCATAATGTTTGTACTTTTGAGGCCACAAACGTGAAAAAGACTTGAATTGTGATTTCCGGGCTCGACATCATTCTTAGACCAAAAACATAAACACTTTAGGGATATGTGAGAACCATTTCTCAGTATTTATTGACAAATCATGAATTATCCTGTACTAATACATCAAAAGAAAGTCTCTAGGTGCACTCTGTATGAATGATTTTACAGTAGGGCTGTGCGATATGACCAAAATCTCATCTCCCGATATAAGAATTCTATC